TCATACGCTTATTGTAACAAAAAAATTTACTGATTTTGCATTTCTAATAAAAATAAAATAATAAAACAGACGTGGACAGAACATATAATATATAGATATGTGTGTACAGGAAAGAACGTGTGCGTGTTGGATGATTCGTATATTCAATTTGCTAAGTTTTGCCCGTTACCTATATGTAGCGTATATGTATAGGCGCCTAGAAGACGTTTTTTTTTGATTCTGCGTGGCGTTTCCCGTCGCGTTTTCGCTGCAGACTATTATATTTCGACGATATATTATACACAATATAATTATTATAATACTCAGTCACACACGTATTATTATCATTACGGGTACAATACGAGCTAGCGATGGCAACCCGCAAGTTTTGCATAACGTCGTTATTACACCCGGTTTATGAAATAAAACGTACCTATATTCTGTGACCAATATTTAAAATTTTTTTTTCTATTAACATTATCGTTACATTATTTCGTTTTTCGGCTCAAACTGGTCGGACGAGCCGAGTAATAAATAAATAAATATATGCATATAAAATATAAAAAAAAAAACGCAAAACACACGACTAATACAGTTAGGTTTTATTAGCGGAAATGAAAAAGCCGGTCCGTGACATTATAAGCGCGTAGGTGCCATCATCACCACATAATAACCACTAAACGTTTAAAGGTTGCCGGATGAAAGTGATGTTCCTCTCGGATTCGTAACAAATAACAATGCCCAACCAAAGATTAATAGCAAAACCATCTGACCTAATTTGTACGAGAACACGACCGGAGCGTCAGCACCAGAACGTGAATTTATATATATTCATTATGTTTTCTGTACAGTGCGTTTGTGTGAGTCTGCGTGTTACGTGCCTACACTTTATGATGTCTGCGAATCCTTCTGCTAGCGAAATAGACATCATTTGGCCGCACCGTCCGTCATTCAGCACGTCTGCTTGTCAATGCTTTCCTTGGAAACAGTCTTTCTAATTGGACCGTGTAAACAAGTGTCTTGTTTGAGAATAATTCGATTAAAAATTCAAAAATGTACTAATTGCTATACAACATTGTTTTATTATATTATGTAATTAATCGAGTTAACAAGCTTCTCCACGGTCCTTCTTGATTTCTTACTGTGCGTTTAAGTTGTACTTTAAGTGCATTTTTTTTTAGCGTATTGTTTAAAACCGTATACTAATTATAATAAAACTGTAGGTGATCAGCATCTGAAAAAGTACATTGCTAGTGTTTAAAAATAAAATGAAATATAATTAATGGCCTCTTAAAAGAAAAATTAAAATACTTTACTACTAATTTTTAGATAGTAATAAACGTCATTTTTGTATGAGAATAGTAATCTATATGAATTACTTTTATCTTTAAGATGACCCTCGGTTCTCGCCAAAAACATTGAATAGCACTTCGTTCCAGCCGAAGTGCGATTGTTTGCGTATTGTTTGTAAGTATAATACATTGTTTTGGCCAATTATAGTTTGTTCCGATTGTAGATTTTTTTGCAATAGGATTTTGGACTGCATTGGAGTCACATTAAAAATATTACCTTCAGAATATTTGCAGTGATGTCGGGGTGACTAATTTAAATAAGATGTTTAAATTGATATCGTATTGTTCGCACAATTTCCTTTATTCTCGTTGTTTAATTTTGCATACACAGTACTCGAATCCTTGGTTTTGGACACGCGTAAATAGAAGGCATAATGTATAATTAATTATTTGTACTTTTGTTTACGAATGAATTTAAATTGAATCCATTGCAATACATTTTATCAAAAAGTAGAAAAAATCTTAAAACAGAAAATTATTATTATGGGTTGAAATTTTCAAAACTTAAATTAAAATGGTAGGCATCATATTTTTACAATAAGTATTTTTATAACTTTAAAAAATAAATATAACATATTATGACCTAAACCGTATGTTTTAATAATACGTGGTGTGTTTTGAGGGAAAAATAAAATAAAGTCACTATTTATTTATACATTTCTGTCAGTTTCGTTAGTATATATCGATATGCATTAATCATTATTTTACGTTTTACATCAAGAGACGGTTGCTTTTATCAGTAATCTATTATGACGAAATTGTATGCTATTCGGTTTCTTACCTTAATTTGAAAAATAAGTAAATAGTTAAATAAATAGTTGTTACAAAACGTAACCACTAAATTGGTATAAAATACAGTTCTAGTGAAACTGTTAAGAAAATTCAAGATTAACCTATTTACTCTTGGGCAATGTTGATGGTATTAATAATGAGATGTTTTGTAACCGAAATGAATGTGCGTGAAAAAAGAGGTGATGTTCAGATAACTCCAATACGCATAGTTCGCGTTAAAATCAAACAAAATTTACCAATTTACTTATATCAATGTTATTTACATTAACGTAACTCAGAAAATCTTCGAGGAAGTATTGGTTCCTCCACCTGTATAACTATAAACATAGTATCATAATTTTATATTATCATGTTTAATTGCTATATTATATGTATTATAGTCTATCTTTCCGTCTGACCAAACCGTTATATTCACAACTGAATTTACGTTTCCTTGTTATATAAATTGATATATGGTATATATATATATATATATATATATATATTATTTGTATGAATGTAAAGAAAAATTGTCGATCGAAATCGTGGGGGAGAAATTCGTGACTATCCAAGTACAGTCTGGTTGTGTTCCATTTATTTTGGTGATCATTGTGATCATACACAGTATATTTATCGCCATTCGAACCTAACGGTACACATATTAAAAAACCTATATGGATAATCTCTGTGGACTGAGATAGATAGAAAACAATTCTCGTACTTGTGAATATATTCGGTATACGTTTATAAATTGCACTAATCTATCAGACATCTTAAAATTGTTTAATAACTACATATTACCTCAATAATATATACGGGATACATTTTTTGTGTTGTATTTATAATACAATAAATCCTTAAACGATTCATAATTTCACCTATTACTATTAAGCACCATGGTATTGTTACTTATGATGAATTGTGCATCGTTGACATTTATTATTGTAGGTTAGTTATTATTTTTTTTTTATCGAAAACTAAATGTATCAAACATGTTTATTAAAATTCAATATCATATTCAGTTTAATATGCTGTCGTACTTAAATTATTCATCTCGTATAATAATTAAATGTAGATATTAAATATAGATTAAAATACGATAACGAAATAAAAAATAAATATCTATTTAGAATAAAATGAATAGATGGGAAAAAACCACGAGTGCTCGAGTAAAACGAAAATTGTGCCTGTGCATGTTATACTACGGACAGGACTAATCGTGATGGGAATCGAGAAAAGCGGATTTTTTGATTTTTTTCTATTGGTTTACAAATTATCATAATATTCGTGTTTCGCAGCTTGTCGAACACGCGATTCGTGGGTCAAACATTTTACTCGTACTTTTTTAACACGGCGTCTTGATTAACGGCGTGAAAGAAAAAAAAAAAGAGAAATTTTAATAAGGCGTCTGACGTCTCGTCGTCACTTTGAACGAGAGCACATGTATTATTATAATTCAATGCGAATGACTTTAAACATGTGTAGACAATCGAAATAATATATGTTAATCAGCCCCCGTCGCAATGTATTCAATATACGAGTAAATGTACGCGTCGCAGCGCCGTTTAACGAGGCCGACCGTCGGGCGGAACACATCGGTGCCTGTTGTTTCAATTTGGATTCGTATTCCGCGGTCACATTCAATCTATGCATTAAAATATGTTTCGTGTGCCTACATTTATACCACATAAACGTGTAGTTAGAAATTACAATGCGCAGTATTGATAGCATTTGCATTGTAGTGTATCGCATTTAGTCTTTGGACGACGAAATACATTACGATTGAAAATGCTACAGTACTGTTAGTAAAGAACGACTAATATATTATAATATCATATACGTTTTAATCTCTTGGTACCTGCCTGTAACTGGCGAAAATAATTTAAAAAATAAAAATATATTAAATATCTAACTTTTGGGTTAGGCACGTATTGTAATACTGTATTCGTACTGGTTCTATGCCGATCACCATACATTACTAATAGCGTTAAACTATTGCGATCCAATCGCCGCCTATGACACCTATAAAATGCACTGAATGTATACTATGAATTACAATTTATAATAATATATAGTATATTATAATAGAACTACTAACATAACCTATGATACCGTGTATGGTGTAACCCATGAGTACATTGACTGCATGTTATTTGATTTAGTTGTACAGTACTATACCCGTATACGTAAAAATGTATTGTTTGTTTGCAGTAATATGTACTCGTATGTTCATTCGTTTTTGGTACAGCACGCGTATGTAATATCTGCTCATAAACACAAGAGGCGTTTATGAAGCCTGTTCGTTGCTATCCGATTCAGCGGTAGGAGCGTGCTTTAGAGGGTATAAATCGTGCGCTTTCAGATTCAGACCTCCTCGTCATTAAACATGAAACTTACCGGTGTACCTACTCGTTTTTTATGTTTATAAAAATTAATTAAATCGAATGCGTTTAGGTTCGGAACTTTTTATTATTTTTATATTCTATACGTTTTTCTGATTTATCCTCATCCCCCCTCCATAAGGATAAAATCTTGGGCACGCCACTAGATTGAAGTACGCAGACGAACAGTGTTCTGACGCCCACTGAAGTCGGTAAGCACACGGTTATATATAATATACCCGTTACGGAATGACGACGATCCGATACGAACCATAGACGTCCTGCAGGACCACCGCGCGCTGTTTTATCCGCGGAAACGACCGTATTACCATCGGATTTTGGACGTGTCACGCCTGTATGACGATTATTATTTCCCCCCCCTCCCCCCGAAATTCAGTTATCGTAATGTTACCGTCTTTTCGCCCGCGCATAGTATATACTATGCGTAAATAATGTAATTTAAAATAACCGTATTCACCGGGTGTTTGTAACATATGTTTATTTCACGTTGTTTCAGGTTCGGTAATGGTGTACAAGACGTCGAGGCTAGCGAGCAGTTTAGACTATGCTGACAAGACGCAACTGGCTACTACGACTCAGTGTCGTTTTAAATGTAGCCGTACTGTTCTATTTCGGGTCCTATTTGACCATCAGGTACGTGAACCGATGACGACGACGTAGTCGTTGTCGTCCTACGTCGATTGTGCACTTTTCTATAGAAATCATTAGCGCCCCCGTACATAATATAATAGAACACAATTATTGTATTAACAATAACGGTCGTGTGTAATGTTTCGAAACTGTATTTTTTTTTCTCGTAGAAATGGAAACTTGGAAAATGTGGAGGAGGTGCAGGTATCCGGAAGGAACTTGGCCTCCATCGATGCGTCTCCGAACGGGGAAAAAGAAACAGCGGCTTATTACTATAACAGCGGCCCCGGCGGCTCGGCCAGCTATCCTGAGCTAGCACTGTTGGCCAGCATACAACCGATAGCCGGACAACAGCAACAGGGTTCATCCGTCCAAACACCGGTTCAAGGTACGTCGGAAAAAATCAAAAAAATAAATGTTCACTACATTATTTTACACATAACGTGTCGCTACATAAATCGTACTTATGTGTATTACAATATCGCATTACCTAATAGTTTCCACTAGTTATTTTTTTCCCCTCTTTTGATTTTTATATTATAATATAATATATAATAACGTAAAAAGCAAAAAATTATGTTCCCTCGCAAGATTAATGTTATTTGGGGTTCCGATACCTTATTCCAGTCTGTCAGTCTTAAATTCGAATTCGACCTTTATATTCGTCTTCACACCAACGGCAACGGCGCACGAATCCAATATACCAAAGTGCAGCACGTGTACTTCTATATTATTATCTATACTCATTCGGTATATTACGTATTCAATATGATTATAATAACGTATACATTAACCTCCCCCTACCCATGAGTTTGGTCATAACACACATCCACTCGGTACTTCACCCGCTCCTATCGGACCCTACTCGTAAAGCTTGCCAAACGTCGCCCACCTATATACTGCAACATGGGTTTCCCGCCGACTGCGCTGCATTAGCTGCCCACAGTTGTATGCTTAAATATAAGTATATTTTATGTGTTTTACTCACTAGAATCGTGTCGCCTTGCCCCGGCTGTACTTGAGTTGTCAATACAGTATATCACTATGAGTTTTTTTTTTTTATGTATCATAATTTTTTCTAACGCGTGATTTAATGAAAATAATAAATTTATGGCACTGTACGCGGATTCTGGGTGGCGGACGAGCTCCACTGCAACGTGTCGTCGTTACAAATGTCATCAGTTTTTCTTTACAATACCATATAAGTATCACGCGTAAATCATTGTCGCTGTACACATTTACTTCATATACATGGTATTTGACTTGAATACCTACAACATAATGTACAATGAATTATATTATATTAGTTAATTGTGGTTACCGGAAAATCCACGTAATTCAGAAAACCAGGATTTTTGACATCATATCCAGCTAATTCCAGATATTTTAGACTTTTTTCTACTATACATTGATTTCTCGTTGTTTTAATTGTTTAAAATAGTGAACGAATACTTTACTGTTTAGAAAAACTAGATGACATTTCTAACGTGTATTAGTGATATTAATAATAGTGATTTAGTTGTTGAATTATTGTCAGAAACTAGTTGTGATACCAATTCTTGCTCAAAATAGTTTTGCAATGATATTCAAACTGTATACCAGCATTATTTGACTTTTACTTGTCACAAACCAGGCGCACGACATACAATCATAACTTGCAGTATTTTAACGGTTTTTAAAAAAATTACGTTTGCCTTCGGTATACCATACTAGTTTCCATAAGTTTTTATCGGTATATTTTTCGCCGTAACATTAGATGGTATTTTTTACACATGTGCCTCCGGTACACTTATTTGCACCGTGTGTTTTATGTGTTTTTGATTATATAACACATATAGAGGAGGTATAATGACCGGGTGTGTGTCGTACAACGCGTACGATTTTATATTGTTTAGTTTTAAAACAATGCGATTCTCATTTCCCGCGTCTGTAGCATTACCTCCAAACCTTTTTTTTTTTTTTGCATAGGAAGCAGAAGCTATGTTGTGGTGTTTTACGAGAAGAAAAATATAATAATATTTTATGATTTTCATTATACATACTTAACTGGTCTACCACGGTAGGGGGTGGTACTCACTACACAAAAAACGCGCTGCAACAGCGTTGTATGATATGATATAATATTGTATTATTTTGCGACGAGAGAACGGTCATCCGAAACGATAAACAATTATTGGTTTAATAATTATTGTGTTCGTTTTTAAATTACCTCGCGCTAATAAAACCTGAACTATTCTACATTGCTGTTTGCCAGAAGTTAACCTTCAAGATTTGAAAACACACATGTAGGTATATATATATATAAATGCGTTGAGACAATTGCACTTAACAGATGTACAATGTACAATAAGTATAAATACATTCACCCACCAAGGCGAAATAGTCGGCAATATTTGATCTTTTTTTTTTTAAAAAAAAAAAGATTGATGAGTCAAAACTGATTCGGATTTCAATAGGAAGTGTTCTTTTGCAAGGACGTTCGCTGGATGAGATTAGATTAAGCAAAAATCAAAGTACATTAGATATTAGTGCTATAGTTACACCGTTGCGATATCTGTAATGTGATTAGCGCGACATTGACAGATGACATGATGTGACAGATAGAAGTGAATAGACGATAATTTAGACGACAATCATTTTTTAATTTCGTACATATGGCATAAACACAACTACAATTGTGTATTAAATTTATCCGCTGAACACCCACGTACTCCTCAGATTATTATTAATATTATTATTTTTCGTTCTGGTTTATGGATTACGATTTTAAAACATTATAATATGGTGTAGCTGTTTTATAATAAGAATATTTATTAAGTTGCAATCTCCTACTTGTAGATGCGGAATTATGTTCAGCGAAAACAAATTTTATGTCTGTGCACAAGAAAAACTACTCTATATAATAGACAGTTTTCGTTGATTAATCGTCAAATCATGTACCGAAAAAATAAAATTACAGATATTCACTTATTCTGATATTATGATGAGATTTATTGGTTTCTGAGTTCTTCAATTAAGTACAAACAGCAATTGTACATCTGAAGGATTTTGTATGTCGAATGTCCAATTAATTCCCGTGACTAATACATTTATTTGTATGTATTTGCATCAACAGTGGACAGTGTCGTTCCAATAAACTTCTTTCAACGAACTCCAACATTTTACATTGTAAACAAGCAAAAAATCTACATCCGTAGACATCATCCGCAGGACATCGAATTACATATAAATTAAGTCATTAATTTCGTATTTACAAAACACGCACTCTGTTATACTCACAATGTTATGTTTACTCACTGCCGTTACACACTAACCGCAGTTAGAACACATAACTGCAATACATTAGTGTTGTAGTCCTATACATCGATGTACGAAATATGATGACGTGTATAGGAGAAAAAACATGTTTATAAAATCATAACTAGTTTAAACAAATTAAAAATGAATTCCAAGGTGATCCACAATCACTATAATTCATTATTGAACAAGCTAGTAAGAGTCGATCAAAAAAGATACCTTGCTATTTTTATCGCTATTTTAGCTAATAGTAATAAAAATAAAAAAACACCGCATTTTTCCGAATTGAAATTATTTTTCTTGTATATATCGTAATCTCCACCGGTGTTGATTGGATTCCAACGAGGCGGTGGTCTATCATTATTTCTAAAATTGGACGACGGCGGCTTAGTACTCGTTTTCGCTCCCTGAACCTATATGTATGAATAATGTAATATAGGTAGGTAGAATATTTTTAACGCACACTCGATCCTAACGGTTTTCACCATATGGTTGCTACTATTATCGAGCAGAGTATAAATATTACGGATTGTTTGTGCAGCGCAGCAGTAAATGAAAATAAATGGGTCTCGTTGAAAATTCAGTGAAACCAGAGGATAAAAATAAAAAATAAAAATACTAGACAGTAATTTATGCGTTGCGCGATCATCTTCTCGATTCGCTCACCTCGGCCCGCCGAATTATAATGATGGATTTAAAATGTGAACGTATTATAATTATATTCAAAATGTACAATTACACATAATTTGGCTTACGGAAAAGTAGTCGAGAATTAAAAAAAATTGGCGTATACACCACTACTGCCCTCGAAGCGCACTGGACTCAGTCGGTCGACGAAAAAAACAACTCGTATTGAACGTATATTCATGAGGAATTCATAAATCAATCGTCGTGGTGTGTATATATTTTTAACTTTGTTCAGCGACATCAGTCGCACGCATGTGTTTACGTTTAATCAAAGTAAAACTGTTGTCGCCATCGCTATTGTGAACAATTGTGCGCTGTTCCGCGGGGAGAATATTTCCCCTAATTTTGTTTTTTTAAAACCCTATTTTTATCTATTCTTTTCATGCTATCGTGACACAATAATGCGTACGCATGCACATACTCACTCAAATTATAGTTGTATAAAGTAACGTGTGCTGGTTGCGAACAAAGTTCGAGCGATGTAGTTATACTCGATGACAATCAAGATCGTCAATCGAGGGGTAAAAAAAGAAAAAAAGACTACCATCGTCACACGACAGTCGTCGTCGGTCGTTAAGGGTGATTCGTCGTCGAGTTAAATTCTCCCTGACAATGCGTTACAACTCGTTATCTGTCCCGTGGAATCGTACTCGTCGAAAGCCGCGTCTCGGTACCTACACAAAAGTTTAAAAATGTTAAGAATATATAAATTCTGCAACATTTCTAAGCTCGCCGAACTTGGGGTTCAAGTCTGCTCGTGATCAGACCATATTTATACGAGTAATAAGTGAATTAATTTAATCGACAATAAATTATAATACTGTCCATTTAATAAATTACTATTTAAGACGTTTAAGTACCTAAATTCTATCATAAATGCTAAAATAAGGTAAACATTCTTGTGAGAAGGTGAACTATCAACCGTATAAATTACGTCCTTGAGTGGGTTGTAAGTTGTAAATTGGGTGGTTAGTGACCAGACCTTTCAAAATTTTGTTCGACGCCACTGTCCATGCTTGTATACAATTTTTATCACGTGAACTATACGCACTTATAAATACAAACGATAATATGTCGCGTATCCATGGCAATACACGTATTAAATATATTAATATGTGTATATGTCATGAATAAATATAATTAACTATTTTATCGCGGTATGTGCTATTCAACGCACCGCCGCTGCCGCCTTAGAACGGTACGTGATTACCCGGTCATACAACTGTACAGACTTAAATAACCGAGAAGAAAAAACGTCTTCGTCGGTGACTCGCCCACCGTTTTTCCTATTTAACCTTCGGAATTTCGTACGATATTACCACTCGATTTCTGATTACTTTACTCATCCCGTGGTCTGTGATGTTGCACAAGGACTTATATAGGATTTTTAAATAAAAATCTTACATAAGATTTTTTCACTGTAGATTCTGCAAATGACGTAGTGGGTTAGTGATAATTTACGCCTAAAGTATATTACTACGAAAAGTTGTATACAATTATTAACAATGCACATCTGATAAAAATTCTAGTTTATTCTGAATTGTTTGTTTTGCCAGTGTTCTAGTGTTCATACATTTCTATTATTTAGTTAAAAATTATGAATCATTATTCATCTTAATGCAATAATGTCTTGTCAAAATTAAATACTTTACATCAGTTATAGTTGTGCTTTTCCTTTTCGATAATTTAACCCAGTATTTGTTAAGCATGATTAATTTGAAGACATGCATCAACTTTTTTCATGTACGTATTTATAGAAATCTCACGGTTTGCAAAATGTCAATAGAATGTGTCTCTCAACGCTGAATATGACATAACCTAACCATTTTCTACCAAAAACGAAGCTATTCTTCCACAAAATCAAAAACGATTAATTTTTTTCGTCAAACCGTGATTATGACAACATTTTATACTTCATCTTAATGACCAAATATTATGTTTATTTTATTTTACTTAATTATTCTATTGCATGTTAAATATATAGTGTGCATATATAAAATATTAAATAATATACATAAATCAAAATATGCATTTTTAATTAAAACACGAGTTTTAAAGTATAATCCAATTCAGAACATAATGTTTGGAATGATATAATGATATGATGTGATTCATCTAATCAAATTCCATCATGGCACTTTTTGTACGGAACATTGGTAAATAATAAAGTTAGATAATTACTATAATTTAGGATGACTCTTATTTTAATACAGGATTTAAAAAAATGATCAATTTATTGAATATTATAACTATTTGTACTTAAAAAGTTATGTAAATAATCACTGATCGTTTTTTGAGTATTGTTTTGAATAACGTAGAATAATGAAATGACATTTTTTGAATGTAAAAATATAAAGGCATTTTTTTGATGAAATATTATTTTGTAATATCATCTGACCACGCGAGAGCAAATTTATAAAATAAAATCAGTGAAAATATAGGAATTTCGAGTATCGCGGCATACCGCGAATCCGTGGACTACGATTTCCTGTAGTCACCGCGGACAAAACCGCACGCACAACCTTCTCCTCAATTCGCCGATTGCGGATTATATATATATATATATAAGTGTACTTATTTAACTATTCCGCTACTACTATTATTACATTACCGCGTTGCTGTTATTATTCACCGCTGCACGATACCTATATTTTTATACTAGTGAACACGCGACCTTGTGTGAAATATACAGTCGATCGCAAACGTACTATTAATCTTTCTGATAACAACTATGATGCGGTACTCACCGTTGCAGTCGTCTTCGTACTGTGTTCAAAAAGCTTGTTTCTGGTAATTATCGCAATCGCATGTTACCTAAGAATGAGCATATTACTATAATGTTATTAGTGACGTTCTCTCGATTCTCTTATAGAGCGGGATGGATTTATAAATTGATTCATTATAATGAATTATAAAAAAAAAAAATACGTACAATTAACCTATAAACAAGAATATCAAGGAAGAATCTATTTTGACCAATAAATCTATTTTGATCTATTTTAGGCAAGATGTTTACCCTGCGACGATCCTGTCGTAAAAGGTTTTAGAACTCATGATATTTTTGTGTACAGGGTTTTTAATAAGATTAGGTGTGTATTGTTTATGTGTTACATAAAAATTAGTGTTTGGATTTAACGAACACCTCAGTGAATCGTCACTTGAAACTTTATTGCGACAATAAAATTTTTACAATATTATACAAAAATTTAATTTAAATATTGCAGCACCCTCTACAAGCTATAACTTATGCTGGGGGTTAATTTATGACATTTGCCATGATATAACCAATGCATACTAACGTGTGAGCGATTAATATTAACGCGATTCTCCACGATTGTCACCACGTTATTCTCGACTGTATACGTATATATAGTAATCACACACATAATAAATTAATATTATGAACGTGATAAATATTCCAACCATGAACCGTGACCCAAATATTATAAAATACATTTATATATGTATGTTCGCGAGTTAAAAACTGAAACATGTATGAAAGACAAAAAATCCGTATCTATGTAATGCATACGTGTGTTTGACGTTTCGATTGTAGGCGTTCGTATTTTCAATAAAAAAATGAAAAAAAAAAATTATAAAAAATATTCATCCTAGGATAATAAAAATAAGAATAATTTGTTTCGTACGCATTTAAAACTGCTATGTGCCATCGCATGACGAATACAATATTTAAAAAAATGCATGCTACGCGTTACAAACAGTAACTGTTAAAATAACTGCAATCATCCGATCTAGGTGCGCACATAAATCATAGAAGAGACATAGTTTAAGAATGGCACATATTTTTAATCAAGTCGCATTCCACTTCTTCCCCCGCGTTTACAGTAAAACGTGTACATTTATTGCTGCTGACTATGTGGTATAATATTTCTCAAGCAACCCTCGGTCAACGTGATACTCGGTTAATGTAGTATATAGACACTACAATAGTGTGTTTAAAGCACCACTGTCCAACAGTAAAGCTGTCGTCTACGATTGGACCGAATCGGTCGCAGCTTCGTCCGTAGTAGATCTGAGTCCCTCAGATAATCTAATTATGCCAGTTCGGATCATTTATCGTATATCGTATACTTTCTATTTTTTATATTAATATATCGAAAACTGAGAGTGTGTTATTCATATTTCATACCCCAGCCATCATAATTTACTGTAGGAAATAATAAAAAACTTAAGGGTATATTATAACATAGGGGGTAAGCGACGAAGGATAACATTATAAAGGGAGAGGATCTATCCTCTGAATATTTCCTTCGATGTAAACTGGGAAAAACTTAACTATAATTAGGATTTGCTACCTTATCATGCTCATAGACGATTTAACCGTACGAACCCCCTTATAGCATTGGGGGTGTAAGTATATTTTGTTTGTTTTTAAACTTGTTCAATTTACAACTATTTATGTTCTACTCCTGTGCCCGTCTATCAAATCTAATCAGTTCGATTTGCAGGTACGACGTTGCGGGACGATGGTCACGTGATGCGCATCAAACCCAAGTCGACGGCGGTGGCGGCCGTCGAACCGTCAGACCCTTCCGGATCCGCAGCGGACCCTTCGGTCGTAGTCGCCGGTAGCGGGTCGGCGGCCGCGATCGCGCCAGCCGAGCCGTGGATGCTGGAGAAAAAAGACGCGCCCACCCAGCAGCAGACGTCGACTACAACGACCACGACTACCACGACAGCGTCTGGTGGTACGTCCGCGGTGGCCGCGGCCATGTCCAACGCTGGCGCGACGTCGCAGGTGCGGCCGCTGCGCGAGCTGCTCGGCTGCCAGGACAAGCCCAACCGGCGGCGAATCGCTCAGCGCGGCGATTATTGGGTGCTGTACAATTACGTGCCGGCCCGCCGGTGGTTCCGGTGCGACGAGTCCATCACGTACACCACGCACGCCGACTTCACGTTCCTCGACAACCTGGAACCGTTGTTGGATAGGTCAGTAACACCCGATTTCCCGTGCGTTGGTATGATATGGTGTATTGAAACGTACAGAACGAATGTCCCGTGTTCCGTGCCAATGTTCCGTTCCTCATTCGGTTCGAATGACGCCGAGTGACCAGACTGTATTCGTTTTCGCCTTCTACATTTCCAGCGTCGATCGTGTTACGCACGCGTTAACGTTCTTGGACGCGTGTACCGCAACGTTTGAATCAGAAACCGTTTGCGCTCGGCGCGGAAACTCATATGAAATCTCGCGGAAACGTGTCGTCGTTACGCGGAGTGTTCGACAACAGATTACGTGAATCAGTGATTTACTCTTTCGTACTCGCACGCAGTCGGGCAAATGTCGTTCCGTTCGATCATGACGCGTTCACCGCGGTTCTCCGTATAATCGTTCTCGCTAGCCACCCACGCTTTTAGGCTCGTCGATTACAATAGGTGCGGTAGTAAAATTCACTCTCGGCGGGACACACAGCCTCACGGGGAAAAACCCGCCTTGAAAAACCCGGGGTTCCGTATAGCGGATCTGGTACGGTTCTTTTCACGCGCGTGCAACTCCTATCGTTTTCGTGACCACGCGTTTGTTTGGCGAAAAGGTACACATTACTATAACTTAACTGGACTTAAGGTCCAATGAAACCCCAGGTCAGCGATCGTATACGTACCCAATACCGTGTCGGTGACGCATGTAGACTGTATAGAACGCGGTGGCCGCTTTCATTTTCACCTATACATGATATCGGCGTTACAGCCATTTATTCGCGAAGAATATTCCACGATATGTAATCCGTTTTCCAATTATAATTGATTTCTAATGCTCGTAAAAAATATCCTTAAACTAGTCCATTTCTGTTACATATATATATATTTTTACATTGACTACACTTAATCAACGATGTCCATGACTTCCGGTTAAAAAACGAGTTTTTCAACGTTTCCATCTGCAGAGCTTAAAGAATCACAGGTTAGATTTCCAACACCCGAAAAACTTTTGAATATAACCATAAATAATAGTGATAAATATCTTAATCATGCCTACAATCATTTTACTTGAAACTCTATTTCTAAAACAAACTGAACCACATTGTGTAAATATTTATAAATAAAGTTTCTTCATACATTTAAAGTGCCCGTAATATATACAATTTCATATTAATGTAACATACAATGACCGGAAATACCCTTATAGTAGAAAGTGTCAAAAAAACGATTTACTTGAAGAGCATTTCAAACAAATATGAAATATAAATCTCGTATCTTGTATAACTTTTTTTACCGTTGAAGCGTGTACAATGATTACGAAAAAAAAAACAATCGTGAACAGTGTTTAAAAATAATTAACATCGTACAATACCATAATTTATTAATTATTTACTTGCATAGTATAATATATTATTGTCAAACATCGACATCGTTACTGCAATCGAACGTACTGAGAGAGATCGGACAATAGCACGATTCCAACTTTCCCCTGATCCGATGTGCAATTGCACACGTACATAAGTATTGTATAAAATTTCATAACGATTAAAATTCGTTGACCTTAAAAATTATCTATACCGATTCGACTAGCTTCTACTTCCGTTTCCCGCTCGTGCGACAACCGTTTTCCGGCATTATAATTGGCGTGTTACTTTGGTGCGTAAACGAACAAGGAAACAACAGATCATCAAAACTAATATATAAATGTGTATAAGTAACCGGCGGTTACTAACCGCATTTGAGTTTAAAAAACTATAACACCGATTACGCCTGCACATAATATAGATATCACATATAACTTAATGTAACTGAAGTGCCCATAACACTCTGGGTATACCGATTAGGTGCGCGCACTGCAGGTGCCGATAACACCGGATGCTTGCCCAATTTGTCAACACCTCGTTCGCCGACATTGAAAACATCAGTAGTGACTCGTAGTTACCGTAGAACTTGTAAATATTATATGATTTATTAAAAATAATTTATTTAAGTACGGTAGTAAAATGTTTAGGTACAAGTAAAATTAACTAATACATCATGTACTATGTAGTTTTCACACCGCAACGTTGTGCTATCGCAGTGACGATAATGATGCCTGTAAGGTTATTGTCGTTGAAGAGGTTATCTAATTTGTACTAATCTATTACAACGACGTCTCCCCTCGTAGATTAGCTGCACGATTTCGAAACCAATAATATTTGATTTTCAATTGCGACACTTTGATGTTTTTGTAACAACTAATGTACTGAAGAATGGTTTTTTTTCTTGCGACTGTGAAGAAATTCAAAATTCCCTAAGCCGGTCAAGGGATAAAAATACGACTCGGACAACATGTACTGCACGGAACATTGGTTCCGAACTGTACTAATATGACAAAAAACAAATTAAAATCAAAAAAAATCCTTTGTTTTCACCGTGAAATCACGGGGGTGGGAGAGGGGGCAGCACCCTGTGTACACACGAGGGTGGTCCAAGTGGTGCGATTACAATGAAAAAGGACAAATGACTGCTGCGCGTGCGAGCGGAAGTCGTATAACGGATTTGCGTTTCGTGTGTTTTCCAGGTGGCGAGGACCGATATCGGTGGCGCTGTACACGCCGGGCACCGACTTCGTGCCCACCCTGGCCTCGATCCGGTACCTGCGGCAGTGCGGCTCGCCGCTGGTCGCCGAGTACGTGACGTTTCACCTGTACTTCGGGTCGGGCCACGTGCCCAAGTCGGTGCCGCACGCGGACCACGACATCAACGCACCCGTTGCCAACTGCTCGGCACCACCGCCGTGGGTCAACTCGTCGGCCGTGTACAAGGGCCGCAAGAAGCTGCTGTACCCGGTGAACGTGGGCCGCAACGTGGCCCGCGAGTCGGCCACCACGCACTACGTGCTGCCGTCCGACATCGAGCTGTACCCCAGCCCGGGCGTCATCGACGGCTTCATGGACATGGTGCGCAGGCAGGACCCGCCGCTCCGGCGTCCCAAACCAATGGTGTTCCCGTTGCCAATATTCGAGCTCGCGTCCCGCATGAAGCTACCGGCCGACAAGAGGGAACTGGTGAGTACCGCCCGCTCACGTTACTTGCACGTTATAACGAGCCAACGAAAAATCATTCGTCTTACAATTTCTCAAAGCGCAAAAGATTTTTTTTTTTTTATATTCATTGTTTATCACTGTCGTGTATTCTTAGCAGCAGTAAATGTAATATACCCTAAACAGTGGTTTTCAACGTTTTACACACATTTTTGTAAAAACGAATAACAAACGAACTGTCGTCAACACGTTTTTTGAAAAATAGAGATTAGGTCTATAAAATAATAAGTGTATATATTACTAATCGTAAATCTACTTATTTGAGACTATCAAACCTACAAATTAAATCATTTCGATAAGTTGAAGACTGATAATTCTGAGTATTTTATTTTTTTGAATTTCAAACAATTGACAAAAACATAGACGTCGTTTAATCGATTTTTTTTTCTTTCTAAAGGCAATTCGATTACCTTTTATAGCTACAAATATTCGTCCGAAAATCGTTTAAAATGTCTTGTATAATGGTCTGGTAGATAATTATTATTTTACTTTCCATAACAGTTTGTGATTCTCAACGAGAATTCGAATAATTTAAATTGATACTAAAGTGTTCAACTTGTTCAATAAAAATCTCGTTAAAATAACTTAACATTTTCTTAACATGTGTTGAACAATGAAACCGCTCGCTGTCACATCATAATACTTGTAATGTAAACAGCGTAAACGGGATGGAGAAATTCGATAGAACAAAAATATAGTATAAAAATATATGACATTGATATTAAATACATGTAATATTATAATACAGGTGTATTACAGCTCGTAAAATATTATTTTCTGGAAATAAACCCGAGATTGGAAATCGACAAAAATATTTTGGTAGATTTACGAGATCCAGGTAATGAAAAAAATGTTTATTAAAATGTTAAGGGAGCAAGTTTGTTACGTTTATGAGGTATCGGAAATGTAATATTACGATGAATCTACGTATAAGCATAATGACCTTGTATGGTAAAAATAATTTCTAATTATTTTAAACGTTTCGGTGCACTATTGCAGATGTAAAAGTAACGATTACCGGGAGAAAGCAAGTGCACGTACGCTGTTACATTTCAAGAATAGTCGTTGCGGCAATGTCGTCTACAATGTGTCATAATTACAATATTTTTCAATGTTTAAAAATCCGCTACACGTGGACAACATCCATAATTTATCTGTTGCGTACGCATTGCAGTGCCGTACATTTGCGAGTAATCGCACTGCGATACCGACGAGTATGTGTAATGGTATTAATGTCGATATAACAGTGTGATCAACAATAACGATAATAATAACTGTAGTAATATCAAACAGTCAATACTTTATGTTTGTCTGGAAACTATAAAACGGATTTGTTTTGGAACACCCGAGGAGCAGCGATACATAGTCAAGATTCCGAATAGTTGCCAAGATATAATAATAAACCCGTACTTGTTTTCGCGCGAGTTGGCTTGACGAATATTAAAAATAACGCGTAGACGTGGATTTTATTATTCAAACCGCGTTAATCCAGAACGCCGCTCGTGTGAACGTGCGTAATAGAATCACGCGAGGCGCTGTGCTGCACTGTGTCGTATTTGACCGTACATACCCGCGTTCAGTTTTCTTCACATCTGCAGGTGCACAAACAGTATTAAGTGTAATTATTTTTACAAAATGCAGGTCAATCTGTTGCGATCACTGAAACACACGAACGGGTGCGGTGCGATGGAAATGTTGATTTATCAAAAACCCATGTGGTTCAAATTAATTAGTGACGTGTGCACAGGCCAAATCATATTAAATACTAGTCGTCGGTTTCGAATTCTATCATTCATCTCGTATAAGATTTAAGTCGATCGCGACCCGAACCGTACCATAATATACAACCGAACACTTAAATCTATGAGGTAACAGGCAGCAGTAACTTACGATCATCTTACGACGCGTACGTATACGCGCCTGTACGATATTATGGAAAAATTAATGATTTTCCTAGTCTCCTAACGACAAAACAAACAAAACAACAACGAATTCAATAACGCGAGTAATGTACACGTACGTACGTAAATGTAGTTACGGTAAAGCGCAGGTACCCACGGTAACGAATAACCGTATCCACCGATGTTAAAATATTGTGTACACCGCGTGCGGTATTGTGTAACGAGATTCAATAGAATCCTGCACTGGAGTAGTGTACATGCGCGGGTGGTGTGCATCAACAACGAAAATAATAATGTTTATTATGTATACATTATGACGCGTGATGTGTGTACATAAACGTGCATAAAATAAAGGACGAAGGGTTCTTTATCTGTACAAACGTTCGATTAACTGCGGGGAAAAAAAACGTTATTTCAAACATTATTAGCTTCATCATAGCCTTCATCGTAGTTTAGGAATTGCGAAACGAATGACATAACATTCTACGCAAAGTCCGTCTGCGAGTGCGATGTATTTACGGAATACATTTTTGTATTATTGTGATTTAACGCGAATAGAACAAGAGATTTTTCGGCTCCTACATACGTGTATAGTCTGACGACAGCTCAACAGTGTATAACATAAATGTTGATAGATCAGTAAAACGCGTAGGGTACAGTCTCCGCAATAATACTAAGCACTTCCATTGACGTAAACCGTGTGTACGTTTTTCCATTGTTTCCGTCATATTTGTATGCGTTACATCGACATCGGCCTTTTCACAGTTGTATCAAACGCGCATACGATCAGTCGAACGAGCACATTTTTTACCTGACGAAAAGCATTATCGCAAGAGTAAATCGACTGACACGGTTATAGAGCCAGTCTCCGCGCTATGCGTTCCATTATTGTTTATAATAAACGATTTTTTTTCTCCTCGTTTCTCTCTTTCTCCGTTTATTCGCCAAACACCGTATTAATAAAATTCCAAGCTTGGTCGTAAAACTTAAACGAGATTTTGCACTCGGGTACGTTGTGTACAATTAACAGGGGGAGGGAATTCACGCCTCGACTGCAGAGAAGCTAATTTCAGTTTTACTGTCCTGTACCCGATTTCGCGGTGGCTCGGTGATAATTCCTGTTGGCGTTCGCCGCGGCTAATTTTGATTTTTTTCGATGAAAACCGTTGTGCAGTACAATCGTTGTCGTGCGGTTTAACCGTCTCGTATGTCTTCGTACTCGTCCCGAAACAAACAGCCATTGTTAAAAAAAGTGCGGCAGAACACGCGGGACGACGGCGAACGGTGTTTTGTTTCATTACGCGTGCACGGCGGACGGATAAATCACGTATTGTTTTCGCGGTCCGTCTGTTGGCGAGACCGACCGACAGGAAGAGAGACGGAAAAAGAGAAAAAACCCAGTCCGGTAACGGTTAGGAGGAGGCGATTCGTACGGCCCCTGTGTACACGTATAATCATATGTATCGTACTTGACGCGTAACAATATCGTATTATTTAGTGGGCAGGTAGAGCACATCCGATCGTTATCGCGTCATCGTCGCCGGACATGATCTCGGCCGCGCAGCAGATACAACCGTTCACCGTACGCGTTCGCACGCGCCCCGTCTAGAACAATGGAAATAATACTCGAACATTATAACGACAACGACGTGGTCTCCTTGTAAGCCACCTCGCGGTTCCGTTGGCCGACGCGCGGCCGACAATACTTGTACGCTGAAAATAAGGGACGCGTTTCGTACCCGCAGTCGATTTACGCATTGATAACGGACCGCTGGTGCGGTAGTCGGTATGGCGCTCTCTGCGGGTGTAAACGAATTCAAACTTTTCATAATAAATCTATATCGTCATGTTTCCGATGTCGTTTTCCCCCCCTCCCGTTAGCATCCGAACAAGAATTACCCTCACCGTTGGGACTCGTGCACTGTTGTTAAATATCACACGCATACGCTTACATAATACACACATATTCATAAATTGTGATCTGTACACTATCGTTTATGTACACGCGTGCGTATGTGTGTGAATACTCAAAGTACATCAAAGTATAAAATGTACAATATTACATGTTCAACAACACCGTAGCGAATGGAATCGGTCGCCTTGAGATTCGTCGCGGGTCCAGTTAGGGAAACCACAACGATCAAGAGCAGATGACATGTAATTTACTCATCGTGCACTTGTTCGAAATATTGTTGTTTCCATTATATTTACATCGTTCGATAATGCGACCATATTTATCATTCGTTCGAGCATATAAAAAGTAAAAAAAAAATTACTTCTCGAAATAACCTTTTTGTTGCGATCTATGGGTGAATAGTCGAACTGCGGGCGTTGAGGCCACCTAGCCGTGGGCGACGAATGCGCTTAGAACTCCACGTATAAATAAACTCCCAAACAGATTACAACCAAAGAAATACGTCAAACAAGTATATCGATAAATTATAATATCCGAGTTCATCAACCGAAACATTGTAAACTATATTTTACATTTAAATAAAGTCGTACGAATGTCACGTACCTACCTAACTGCACTTTGCGGGTACACAAAAACCTCTGCCACGAACGGTACTGTTATATCGACTCATTGTCTGTCTGTCCATATGAACTTTCGTCGGAAATATGTTGTTATGAACGAGCCGATTTCGGTGCTCACAATAAATATACGTGCGTTTAATTCCAGGAGTTTTTCAGTTGTCCGCGTAAAGCCGACAGGGATTTAGTGTTCATGTGCAACACTGGATTGCGTTTTGATAACCGATATGTACTACTTGGCTTTTTTTTCGTTTTATGTGATCATCATCATCACAATGAACGGGATTTTTTCTTTCGGATCAATTGTCGATCGGTGTTAATTTGCACGTCTTAACCGCCCAGACGATAAAATGACGACTGACGTATTATAATAGTTCAACATTATCGTAATAAACGGCCAATGCCAATGGTGGGGGGAAGAAAAGCTTTCTCGTATAAAATAAAAAAATTTTTAATTAAAATACTCGTTGTGTTTTTAAACCGTACGGGGGCGGAACGACATTGGAGTAGGGAGCTGCACGCGTACGTACCTATTTATCACTGAACGGAGCCAATTTCAGAGGTCTTGATGTACACGAATTGTCCGGTCAACTCAAACAGTATTACGAACATTTATAGAGGTTCAAATTGTTCGCCGAGCAAAAAAACAAAACAATAATTTGAATAACATTCCAGCTACAAAAGAAGTGCGTACTCGATGTTTACGTTTTTACTGCAAAACCAAACCATTTTTTTATGTGTGATGGTTCGCGAGGAGAAACCAAACAAGCCGAACTGATTGCTTTAAAACCGTATTCGTATTTCATTCGACTACCGGACACAGCGAACTTTTGAATGATTAAAAAATAAATCTCCAAACCGGCCCGTCGTAAGCCGCTCGTACGCGAATGAACAATCATTAATCTTGCACGGATAAATGACCTATCCTCGATTCCTCGTAACAACCGAACGCACGTTTAAATATGTGAAATAAAAAAATATATCTAACGATAACGGTGTCTTACGATGATATCCACAAAGCAGGTGCTGTAGCTAATATTGACGTAAATTCGAGATACGGCCTAAAGACGGAAGTATAAATATTGTTATAATGCGTGTGTAGAGTTACTGTGAGGTAACGCGTGTCTTCAAACTGGATTCAGGTGCACGTTCAGAAATATATAAAGTTCGATAAAAAATATAAGATTGCAACAAAGAATATGTCGGTTTTGTTTCTTTCTAGTCTGTTTTACCGTCACTGCATGTCAGACGTTCCGAAAACTTGCGAATCCTGTACGTGCTGATTAAAACACATCAACATCGCAACAATGTGAAACATGCGCATCGCAGAATCCACAAGAAACTAACACGACCATTCGACCCCAACACGTTTATTAATTTATTATTGTAATCGTGGTTACGCGTTTTTAAATGGTATGTTTTAAAAACTAGTAGGAGGTGAATCTCGGATATATACATAATACCAACCAATATCGCACCGCTTCGAGAACAGAAATGAATACATCCTAATCGAAAGATGCATTTTACGTACAATTTGTGTGTGTGTGTGTGTGTGTGTGTGTGTGTGTGTGTGTGTGTGCGTGCGTGTAGCATTATTTCCGTTGATAAATGTTACCGCCGCCGCGGACACGAAACAAATTTTAAAGTAATAGAACGTTCTTATTACACACATACGAGTACGTCATAATAATCATTACAATATTTACTCCCTTCCTTGTGATCAATATCGCGTGATCGGTACACTTTTTTACCGCGCACAATATCATATTGTACACGTGGACACTTTGAACTGGTACTCGCATTGAGAAATTCCTGCGCGCACGTGTATTCCTATATGTTCTATGTAGGTAATATTGTTATGTACACTATATGATATGTTTGTACATCTTATAACGGAAATTCAAATCTTCTCCCGACACACACTCGGACTCTTGACATTCAAAACGATTACCTTGGCGTGCGCGCGACGTCCTATTATTAGCCGTTTCTTTCTTTCTCTCCCTCGTCGTTCGGCGCTCATCCAAAAACACGACTACAGCACATAAACCAGCCGCAGGTCGGCTGCAGTGACTGCGCTACATATCTTATTATAATATACATAATATTATTATACGTTTACGTCTTTCCTCCCCGGGAGTAGATTCAATAATAATAATAATAATAATAATAATAATAAATGGAAAATACGCGTTTCCGGAACGTAATTGATTCTGTCGTAAGTTACGGTTGATATGCGAGACAGCGGTAATTATTATTATTATTACTATTATTGTTGGAAGTGGCCAGCAATCGAAAAGTAAATGGTCATTCCGTCTCTGTAGGCCGTCGCGCGTACGCGTCAGTGATTTATTTATATAAATATACTTTTATAATATCGTACGTGTACCTCTCGTTTGCCCGAATCCCCGAGCTATAGCAATACCGTCTATACATAATATCTGCGCGCACTGCAGCCGATAGCCTCTAGGAAGAAACCCGTTTGTCTCAGTTCGTCAGATTCTCACAACCTAACCGCTCGGAACGGAAAAATAACGAGTTTCGGACTATTAACAACCGAGCAAAACACGACGTTCGGTTTTTAACTAAACAATATTTTTATACTACAATCATTATTATATCTCACCGGACTTTGCCTGAAAACCACATGAATACTTTTTTTTTCTACGTGTATTACATTATAATAGTGTTACGTACATCATGACAGCACATCGGTTTACTGATAAATTGCTTATTGAATGCATAATCCGCGTAACAATTCAAAAAACATTTTTTATCTCTTAAAGCGGTCGGCGTACTACCCAGTAGTCGCTAGTCGCGTGTGGTCACTGTGACGAGATGGTCGGCGGAATTATTATTTATCTATTCTTCGTGTTATTGTTAGAAATTAGAAAAAATCATAATATTGAATGTGTCAAAAATCAGTGCTGGCAGGGACGAAAATAAAAAAATGAAATCAGAGAGCTACGACCAGTTGCAGTGGTATGGGTACATGGTAGCCGCGGGTGTCGGTATTATAATATCCGTCCCGGCGGATGTACCGTGAAAATATCATTTCGTTACCCAGTTAAATTCTTTGGTCCTTTATCAAGATTAATCCTGTAGCCGTAAAATAACACGACGTCAATGACCACAACGACTGTTGATATAAAACAACTGAGTACACGTAGATCGTTATAGAAATATTATACGTTTTATTATTATGTATTATTCGCCGACCTTCGATTGCACTTGGCTTTGTCACAATAACGTCGTGGCGTTGGCTCATCCATAACGGCGACGCTGTTAAATATTTGTCGTAAATCGTCGGCGCGGCGCACAAGACGAAATCGAACGTGAGGAGAGAACAATTTTTAACAAAGCTCTTCGTCCCCCTCCCACCATCGTGATAATAAAATTTTAATCGCGTATCTCACTCTCTCGTTCCGTCGTCGTTGCATAGTCTTCCGTGGTCTCGTCGGATTCGATAACCATAATTTAATCTCGCTGATATATACGCGTGTTATGCATATTATTACGTATAGGGTGAAATCCGCGTTACAAAACGGTGTCGGCGATAGCGTACCATACCTGTGTGTCATAAATAATTTCCAATCGCCCTGCTACACGTGTCTAGATAAGCTCTCGTAAGCGTAACTAGATTTGGGGGGGGGGTCATTAAAATATACGCAGAGTGATCAGAATTTCATGTTACGGCGGTTTCGCCGTGTGCGCAAGGAAATCGACAATACAATAGGAAACTTTTATGTAACAGTTTAACGTTTACGTTTTCGGTGTTCTACTGTTGGTTTGAGATGAACGAATGTCGCATAAAATTCTGATCACCCGATGTGTACTAGCGTTTGATAATACAGTTAACACTTTCATAACCCTGCAAGAATCAACGAACCATATTTATAGCTCTCATCTCACATCTAAGATGTTAATACTTGCGTCAATGCGCTTGTTATGTATTCATCACTAATATTGTATACTTCTCGGGCAAGCTTACGTTTTTGCTGTGCATATTTAACCTAAACTTAACCTACCGGATTAATTGATAATTACAACAGTTTTGTGATTTTCCATAGTTGTCAATGTTGAAAAACGGTTCTGCCATCACGTTCCACAAAAAAGTGTGTCCCGACTGCCATACCGTGCCCAAGTTCAAAGAATGGGCCAGCGCTAAACCCAAACCTGGCGTCAGCGTGTTCCACACGGGCAAGAGGACCGGATATCATTTGCACTGGGAACCGATATTCATCGGCACGCACAGCGACCCGTTGTACGACGAGAGACTGAGCTGGGAAGGGAAAATGGACAAAATGACTCAGGTAACGCAGCTAATAACTATAACTAAATGAATACAATGTAATACTGGGTGCTTGGATTTTATAATAAAAATAGTCCCGAAAACGTGGAAAATTTCTGGGGTAGAAAATGCGTTCGTGGCCTGGAACGCGTGTAACTCGTTAAAATCGAGCGATAAAATTGTCAAGAAAAATAAAATTTAATTTTAAAACTGTTAGAACATTTTAATGTACTATAACATGTATTTTATATGCATGGTATCTTATTATTTCAGTTTTTATTTTCGAATACTTTCTCGTTATTTATTTACATGATTAAAAATTAAAAATTTGTTATAACTCGTTAAACATTACTTTTAACGGCATTAAAATTTTCTACTGTTGTGTACATAACGTACGCATATAACAATAAATATACAAGTGGGAGACGTTCTCTACTTTTGAGTAGTATAATTACGAATTTGCTACTTTAATAAAAATAAAAAATCACTCGAAACTTTTACAATTAAATATTATTATTGAATTAAAATAATTTATTGTTGTCTCGTTGGAATTTGAATTATGTGTGTCATGTGTTCATTAATTTTTAACACAAAAAAACCTCTTTCTATTTTCAAAACTTATTAAATTATTTATTTATATTTAATTTACATTGTACCAATCACCTAAAAGTCCAGCAAAACTAAATCAGAGTGTTCTGTTGACACACATATAAATAAAATATAATATCAATTTGTATAACTTTGGAGAACAATAATCTTGTAGAAATCGACGGTTTTAATTTTACCGAATCCAAGCTCAAACTATTGAGTATTTTATTCGGTCAAAACGGGTCCACAGTTGTTTTACGGACATCTGTGATCACCTAACCGTATTTAGTGGAACTCGATTGCCACAATGTTATCGCATCGTATTGCGAGTTTATAGTGTCGCGTTGACGTAAAGATTTCGTTGACTACTTGTCTTTATCCACTTTTAATCGGAAAATCGGTTGCTTGTCTATCGCCTAATAATTCGACTTTATTTTTTACAAACACCACGTCTTTGTTAATGGAGTGGAAAATTATCAAAAAAGCCTGTTTAACTGTCGCGATTTCATTGCCCATACAGATACAATCAAATCGTAATTATTATTATTATATTCGCGTGCCCGTTGATTATTCCGAAAACAATCGAAATTTTTTGAATATCTAGATATTTGTAGTTTCTCCATCACCCAGCAACATCCGTAATATGGTATTAATAATAATAATAATAATAATAAACGTCGGTGCGTAATTACGTAAATCCTAATGATTCATTATTTAATAATTCTATGTTATTTTCAATTTAAATACCTAAATATTATACATTTATAAATAAATATTTATTAAGTAATAAACAAATATATATTTAAATATTTTTAATTTTATACTAAATTAAAATCCGTTCCCTACTAATGAATGTGCAGCGGCTAACGAAAACAACACATTCTACACGGAAATGTACCGATATTAATAATGCTAATAATTATGATTATATTGAACTTCGGTGTATTATACATGTCAACAATGGCGGACGAGAATATTATTTTGTAGAATATTATTCAGCTCCTCAAATGCTAGTTTCATTTCACTAAATATGTCTCTCCGGCATATCCTTCTTTCGTTTCGGTCCGAGTTATATCTACTGTCTTATCCCATAATAATGACATTTCTTCTATTGATGTTATTAACAGATTAATATCTAAAATATCTTCGTCAAGCATTTGAAAGTTTTCATTTGACAAATCCATGTTATAATTGATCGACATGTTTACATAAAAGCAAATTACGTAACAATGATTAAGTTTTGAATGAAAAATAACATTCTACCGCGTGTTTATTACCGCTCGAGTGTTGACACTCGTACGAGTATATTTCAATGCATACAAACGGCAAGTCCTTGTCGCGCGGTAAAGTCATGGTGTACGCGACAGTTTTTGAAATGTCACGCGTTAATTTTACGGCACGACACTCTCGTGTGTTGTACTTTCAGAATTTTAATGTACAAAACGCGCCGTAAAATTACGTCGCGGTAAAAATGTCACGCTGTAAAATATCACTCGTGTGTTGCTGGTCTTATCATCAAATATTACATACGATTTAAAAGCCATAAAATGACGGCGCGCGATCGGTTTTAATTGTTCGGCAAGGGTAACGAGTTCGGGCAAAACCGGGTAATATGTATACGTCAGCTCTCACATTCAGGGTCGCCGTAATTTATAGGCACGCGAGTTCGGTTTTCATCTACTAAGTTGTTGTCGTTTTCATTTCCCGTTTGGCCCCGTGCGCAAAGGTTCGGCACATGCTCGTGGCTCTTTGCTGAACACGCGGGTCAACCAACGTCGTCATCGATCTTCCAACATTATGAACATGAATAAACTACTATATAAAAACCTACTCCGTAAAGTTTACATTTCATACGCGTGAAGTGTAGACGTGATAAAGAGTAAGATACTTTAGTGGCTATTACGTAGCTACGAAACTATTGACTCGCACTACTCGTTCCTCGATAGGAAACAATTTAACTAAAAATCAAATACAGTAAATAAATATATATCGAATATATATTATTCTTGGTAAATATAATTACGTTACTACCGTTTTCCAGTGCCCATAGAATGATATTCTCATAATGTGTTCCATATATTTATGTACAACGATTTATCGAAAAACTAAATGCCATTCATAGTGAAAACACAGATTCAACAAAAAAAAAAATTGTAAACAATAACGATTTGTTAACCCGGAGCAAAGTTTTTTAATTCGATAGAGTGTTGCTTAAATTATTTCCATAAAAGGAAAACAATATTCGTTTAAGACCCGAAGTACACGTCTATAAAATAAGTGATTGCGTGTGTAGGTAAAAAAAAATTGTGGAAAATTAAAAACCTTACTCGCGTCTCTTTTGTGTATATCTCAGTGTATGTTATGTGTATATATTATGCTTACATGATTCAACGGGATTTTTTCTGCTGCAGGGTTACACGCTGTGCGTACTCGACTACGAGTTCCATATCCTGGACAACGCTTTCCTGACTCACAAGCCGGGCATCAAGACATTGAAAAAGGACCCAGCCCGACAAGTGCTGGCGTCCAAGACGTTCAATCTCATCAAGAAAGTCATACTTCCCGAGCTCAAGGTCCTGTACGGTGTGAAAAAAGGATGCGCCGTGTAGTACGTAATGACGCACGGTCGCGCTTTATAGCGCGCGTTAGGGACCACAGGTCAGTGTTTTAACAATGTAAACGTTTCTAAAATAAGTATCTGGACAGTCCGTGTATCATCTTGAATATTTACTTTAGCGAAATAAAATATCTGTGCTCATAGACAAACCCCTTTTCGATCTCCAATACAAAAACCTTTAAATCCATGCTCCTAATTATTTTTTTTCTTATACATATATTTCTGGATTTAAACCCCATTCATTCAACTGATCATTTTTGGACAGTACATTTTCTTTTTTTAGATTTTTGACTCTTCAAAAGTGTTCACCCCTGCCATCACAGCCTTCCACCCCTATTCTGAATCACATCCCTCTAATTCTCTATATCCATTTTCTTACAGTCATAATTTATCCCTTCAATCTAACGCTTCCTTGGTCTACCTCTCTCCTTTTTTTCTTTTAGTTGGTATTTTATGTCTGTCCTCACGACTTTTGGTTTGTCTCTCTTTGTAGCATAACTATTTTAATCATCATACTTTTATAAAATTGGTCACCTTGGGACATTTCGTGATTACTCCGATTTCGGCATTTATTCTTCAGCGCCAACATCCCAAATTATCATCATATAACCCACCACATAGTTTTCTCAATATCTTATTCTCAAAGGATAACCTAATCTTTTCTCCATTTGTGCTGTTATCGCCCACACCTCGCATCCATACATCAGCGACAATGCATTGACGGTTGACTAAACGTCCATAAAATTATCTTAAATTCGCGGTGTTTTACTCCCGTCGAAAATTTTTAATCATATTGCACAAATTTAATCTTTTTCCCATTTCTCCCTGTCTCTCGTTTCAACCTTTGGACACAGCTTGATTCACATTAAAATACGTGGTTTACACTCGTTTTATACCAAAATTTTTGTTATTATTTTATATTTTAATTCAATTTTTTTTTTTTTTTTTTTATTGCAGATAGACTCTTCGACTGATAGATTAAAATATATATACGCTTTCTTCCTCCGGATGTCGGTCAACACGTTATCATACTGCGGCTGTGTGCACCGAGCCTGGAACAAGGACGTTATCTCCGACAACGGCATATCATATTATTATTATTATTATTATTAAACGCGTCGTTTTTATCTCTCGTGTCAGTTTTTACTATATATTGTGTATATATTTTTTGCCACTGCATTGCCTCTCAAAATGAGGCTAGCAATATATATATATATATATGCGTGTATGTGCATTCTCGTCGAGAATTGAAAAAAAAAATGTATTTTTTTTAACGCCTGTACAAAATAGATGCCAATTTTTAGTTTTATACGTGTAAATTCGAAGCCTTCAATCAAACGGAATTATTTTACCCTTATACTAAGCACATATTTGACACAATAAACCTCTCTACATAATTTTATGATTTTTCACTTAACCAACTACGTTGTTTTTTAAATATTCTATAATCTCTTTTCACACGCGTCTTATTTATTTTATATCTCTTTATTATAACAATTGTCACTTTTTTTTTTTTTTTTTTGGTATCTGGGATATTTTCAATGGGACAAAAAGGATCGCCTCCAATTGCAAACGTTTGGACAATTTTTTTTGACATTTAACCATCGAACACCGTTCACTCTTCGTCCTTCTCCTTTCACACTCATTTGATATCCATTAGAACCATTAAAATTTCCATTTTCGAGTCAATTTTTGAGTACCATAACGTTCATGCTATTCGATGCGATCAAAAATATTGTTTTAAGCTCTCCATTATTTTATACAATATTCATCATTTTTATTATTATTATTATTATTATTATTATTATTAATATTATTATAATTATTATTATTATATGATAGTTTGTGATGTAATATTTATGCCATTATATAAAATTATAATTTGCCAATTAATCGCTAATCAATTATTATATGCATGCGTATATTGATGTCAAACATATACGTAGGCGTATCGAGTTAACCTAATTAGCGTATAAGAGAAGGACGTACGATAATATAGCTTTTAAAAAAAATACGAATACACAATATATAAAGTCATTATATTATTAATATTATTATTATTATTATTCTTATTATTATTATTATTATTATTATTACTCTCGTTAATGCCAGATCAAATTTTGAGTATATTACACATGATTGTAAAAATTGTTCGCAAAATATATATAATACGACGATACAAAAATGGTATACGTTTTATTGTGATCTCTAGTTTTTAAGCTTGTAATAATCATTTTTATAGACATAATAGATGCTAACCACAAAACAACGCGATTCGGAACAATCTTGTACATAGATATTATAACATGTATAAGTATTATAGCAATTATAGATTTGTTCAAAGAATTTTATTTGTATACATGTGTACATCGTTTAGCACTATAAATCGTTTAATAATTAAAAAGTGCTAATTATTGATTCTTATTATATAATATATCAGCTCATTGCTACCGTGAATATGTACTACAGATTTATTACATATAAATAAATATATGTATAATATTTTTATAGATAGCGGAATAATTTTTATAGCTCAAGTAAAAAAAAAAACATATTTATTTAAATAATTCGCTTGTAAGAATCAATCGCCAATTTATACATACGGATATTATATTTTAAACTTATTCCAAAAGTAATAAAATTATATTCATTGTAAAAGTTGGCATTTTTTTATTTTTTATTTTTTGTTGTATAATCCCTGATAGAAATACACCGACACCATACTATCATATAAACGGTTTTGTATACAAGATGAAGGTATTAATATTTTTTAATTTTTTTTATATAAAATGAACATCTATAATAGCGTTTCTCGTCGTTACTTTGCGCTCATGTTTAAATGTACGTAACACGAATGAGCTTGTAAAAGTTAAATGTCAACCTTCTTCTATAGTCTTTTTTTTCAAGTTTGATTTTATAATAAAAACTTTACAAATATAATAAATAAAAATAAAATTAATCTATATGTAATATGCTGTTTCCCGGAACCCAGAATTGATTAGACCCTTAAAAATATGATTCTCAAAAAAATCCGTACTTATTGCCCTTATACACAGTATTTAATAAATGTCCCCAATATTTTAAGTTGATCGGTATTTTAGTTTTTTCTATATGACAGTCGGTAATAAGTGAGCAGGTAGCATGTAATATTTGAATTATATGTACACAAACATATATTTTTATAAATCACAACCAAGCAGTTACTGAATTACAAAATTAGTTTTCGAATTCCCCTTTGGGTTGAATCTTGACCATTGGTACAGTAAACAGGTTGGTTTTCATCAACAAAAAATAATAATAATTAATCAATGGGATTTTGAAAAATAGATTATTAAAACGGCGTAAACGTTACGTTCTGTAAGAAGAATAGCATGAACTAAGCCCCCCGTCAAGAAATGTGCATCATTCATAGGACACAAACATACTATTTGGGTACGTGTAAATTACTACTATGAAAATCGACTAACCAAATGTTCTTTATAAAAAACCTTGTTTACGACCAAGTTTTCCGCAGCGTTTACGATGGCCTCGTTGAATTACGATGGTTTTCAAGTACTATCCGTCAATACACCAAAAATAATGCGAGGAGTATCCATTGTCAAGATTTTTCATCATCTCTGATCATGATAAACCGCTTTGAACGACTGTCCACCACAGACCGTTGTAAACTGCAAAATGTAAATCGCAATCAAAATATAGCGCGACCGTTACGATATGCAGTCCTAACGATTATATTCGGGTGATAATATTTTTGTACATTACTGTTGCGAACTCCACGTGAACAAAGCATTTCCATCAACGTTTATCTAAAAATCGCGTCCACACTATAATATAGAGCACGGATGGGCCCAATTTTTAGAAAATTAAAGTCTAGAGGGCCAGAGCATACAAAACAAAACAAAAAAAAAGTCATTCAAAATATTAATTTTAAATAACATTTATACACACGGAAATAATAAATTCAATATACGGGACAGCATGACACGAATGACACAAAGAAACTGGAAGAAATTGATATAGTTAAATTGTCCGGTAAAAACAGCCATGGTTGAAAGCTTTACATATACATACATATGCCATTTAGACCTTTAACGATATTTGATACCAGATAAAAATGATTATATCGATAAGATAGAGTATAGACGAAAAACTTTAAAATCTTATGATGTAATTTGAAAATATAGTACGGTCCAGATAAAAAAGGCTCACGGTTATGTTCTAAGGGGGTAAGTTTTTTATAATTTATTACGGGTTGTTACTTTCCTCCTTATTTAAGAGAGGGCTCCCGGGATTATAAAGGTTCAAATGCTGATCAACGTAACTGGACAGTCTGCCAAGCCAAATAAAATAGCACTTATTTGTTTTTAGTAGATATTCATATATCAATGAGCTGTGCATTTGCAACCAGGAACTAGAACCTGTAGGATTTTTTTGTTCCGGTTTCGGTTTTGGTTGTTCAATTAATTTTTTAAGGGTTCTGGTTTTGGTTTCGGTTTTTAAAAGAGTAAGAGTTCTAGAACCGGTTAATTTCGGTTAATTCTGATTATTAGAGATTAATTAAAAACTATTATGAAATTATTTATTTATTCTTGTTTAAATTGTAATTGTTTCATTTCATGAAAATAGAAGGTATTATGAATAGTTGAAAAAATAATTATAAATATATTAAATATATATATATATATATAATATAATAATAATAAATAATAAAATAATAGCATGATGGATGATACACTCATTTTAATAAATATACAAAAATAATAATGATAATAATATTACAAATTTACTTATTATATGCATTAAACTATTTAAGTTTAAAATATAAAATAATAAAAACATAAAAAGATTTGACTTTTATTTTTCTGAACTGACAAATGGACAAACAAAATAGTCATTACCATAATTTTACTAGTCTAAATACCTGACCTAAATCAACCCTTTTATAATTAAGGTTTCGGTTCCGGTACTTTTTTTCATTTTTGTAAATAAAAGTTCTGGTTTCAGTTACAGTTCCTAAATTTTAAAGGTTAACCAGTTCCAGTACCGGTTCTTTTCGGTTACGATTCTGGTCCCTGCTTGCAACTATCACAGGAGTGTATCGAGGTTGAAAAGAAACAAATGCAGGATTCAATGCACTGAAGCTGGATACTCCACAACACTCGTACGGAAAACTCAAATCAAACAGATGAAATTAAAAGTTAAATAATCGCACGTAACCATTTGTCATAAGAGACTCTTTCGTTAATCTTACGATCGGTGCATGCACTGACGACTTAAGATCAAGAGCTCTGGAAGAGGGTTGTGTGTCTCTGTTATATAGGGACGTATGGCAGCGTGGACCTTGGACCGGTCCTTTGAAAATTTGACCTACTTAGGATGTCAATAATCTTTATTGTTCGACTTGTGTTGTCCATGTGAGTATCGAAGAGACTATAATTTATTTCTTAAAATGGTTTAAAATATAATAGGTATGGTATACATTATTATAAAATATTTGTGCAGTATTTTACAATCAAATTATACACATTATTACACTATTCAACAAATTCCAATGAAGGGTATTCTGTTGCGGTTGGTCATATGTATTTTACTTTTCATTATTGTTAAACATTTAATACCTTACCGAAGAGTTTCCTAGTGAAACGTTTTTATTTGTTCGATTAAAGTTTCATATAAATTTTATTAATATTTTAAACCACGACATCGGCGTAGGTGGAAGAAATCATTATTTATAAATAGAAATATTTATGATGGCAGTGATTTATATATATTGTATCAGTCATCGTTGTATGCAGACCTCTCCGTAATATATCTTTACAGTTTAATGAAATAATTATTTTTGTTATTAAGACTGTTTTCGTTTTAATATTTAAAATTTAATTCCATAATGGCTGCTCCAACTCCTGTCTCCGATGAGGCACTCAGCATAACAATTTTGGATTCCATTAATGAACTTAAATCTAATCAAAATAAAATGATAACATCATTCCCATGCATACCGGGATTCAATCAAAACACACGATAAAAACTATGATATTATTGAATTAAAACTCAATACTCTCTCAAATCAATGAACTGTGGTTATTTCTAAAAATAAATCTTTAAGAGGTAAGATTGAACAGTTAGAGGCCAAAATAATTACAGTTGAAACTGCAGCTTCTCCTAGAGCTAACGTTGAATTAGTCTATTCTTAGCTTATGGACCGTCGCATCAAGAACTCGTAATAATAGCTTTATTAACCTATTAAAATTATAAAAAAATTATAAATATTAGCTAACCTAACCCTAACCTAACTAAACAGTTATGCGACGCCTCTAATGTTGATAATTTATTTAACAGCATTGGTTTACAAATTAATCCAGTATCTATCCGTCGAGTGGGTAAATTATCAAATAAACCACGTCCTCTGAAGTTTTGAAGTCTTAAAAGTAAAACAGAAATTACATAGTACAGCGAACTTCAAGAATATTGGTATTGATCAGATTATTCAATAACGTAAATGTTTTTCTAAAATTATATCTGAACTTAAGCTGCGAAAAGATACTGGCGAAAATAATTCATTCATTAAATTTATCATCAACGTGCCCATTGTTTCAAAAAACTTCCAAGCAAGTGTCCCACTCTAATCAACTTCTCTGTATATTATCAGAATGTTCGTGAACTTAATAATAAATTAGATACATTTATATGTAACGTTGTACTTCTTAATTATGATTGATTGTATTAACTGAGACCTGATTATCTCGTTCTTTAAATGATTCTGAACTTGGATTCATTATATTGTTTTCCGATATGGTAGACACGAAATTCATAGACCATCACTGACATTCAGGGTGGTAGTGTCTCAATTGCAGTCAAGGTCCAATATCCATGTCGTCGCTTACAACTATATAACACGAATTGATTGAGCAACTATTCATAAAAAATATATTTAAGCTCGATATGTTTAATTGACGGTTCCGTATACTTTCCACCACGCTCTGGTTTAAAATTATATAATACTCATGTTAATATTATCGATAATCTGATGTGTAACTGTTGTAATTACAAAATAAACTCTTAGTTTTAGACGGTTACAAATAAAATTGGAGTCGGTCAACTTTGTCTTAAACCTACACTCGTCCCGATTTTCTACATCCCCTACGCACATACCAATAATATCATTCTCAATCATATCCAATTATCTCTTTTCTTGGTCTTCCTCTTTTTCCTTCGACGTTCATTTTTATAACCACTCTTACTGCTTTTGTTTGCTCTTACCTCATCATATGCCCAAATCATCTCAGTCTATTTTCTCTCATCTTGCCCACTATCGACACTACAATACTACCTCTCACATATTTGTCTCTTATTCTATCTTATCTTATCACTCCACTCATCCATCTAAGCATTCTCATTTCCACAACACTTATAGTCTGTTCTATTCTCCTGTCAACTGCCCAACACTTCGGAACATATAACATAGTTGGTTTCACTAAATTCTTGTAAACTTGACCTTTTAGCTTAATCGGAATTCTCTTATCGCATAAAACACCCGACGCTTCTCTCCATTTCATCCTACCGCACTTAATTCTATGTTTTATATCTTTGCCGAAGGTTCCGTCTTTTTGATCCTAAGTATTTAAAGTTTACGACTTTATCGATCATATCATCGCTTATTTTTAATTAGTATTATAGTAAAGGATATTAACTAATTTTTTTTTTTTTTTATCAAAGATAACACGAAAATATTTAACCTTGGCCGTTTGCAAATTTACCAACTCGAACAAACGAACCCGTTGAAACGCGTTTCCCGTAGAAACGATAGAAACGATATTTGTAAAGTTCACAATTTCGAATAGTGTTTTTTACTGCATTCGCGTCTCTTGCAAAATAATTTAAGACGGAGATACCATGTTTTTCAAGAAGATGGTGGCCAACGTGGCGAAATTCTTGTTACAGCAAAAGTAATTATACCGCAGGGACGAACGGCACCGGTATACCGATATTGATACCGCATACCGCATACCTGACGCACAACAGTTACAACTGCGTTACTATTTCATCGGTTTAGGGTCCCCCCGACCGACGGAACACCGAAACCGTTGTCGCCATACGCCGGCACCCCGTACACGGAGTTACAGGGAAAAGTGGCCATAATCACCGGTGGTACCAGTGGTATCGGATTAGCCGTGGCCATGGACCTGGTCGAGAATGGTGCACGGCGCGTGATTGTGTCCGGACGGGACGTGAAGAAGGGCTCGAATGCGGTGAAATTGCTGAACCAGATGTGCAGCGACCATCAGCAGGCCTTCTACGTGCCGATGGACGTGACCGCGAAGGAGGAACTGAAAGGTGCGTAGTGGTTCTCTGGGTACGGCCGATTTCGCATTTCAATTGCATCCGTAGCGGACCGGTGCACACGGTTTTCGAGCCGATATAAAGGAGCGTTTACGTTACGGTTGTGAAGGCGAACGAATGCGAATTCGGTTAAGATTCGGTCCTACTATGCAGACTATTCGTTCGTATTCATTTCTCAGTATTCGTCAGCATTCACTTGCCTTCACTCGGAATCAGAGATTAAAAATACTGTTTAGTACGAATTTAACTATTGTGCGAATAAGTATAGCACACATTGGTTTTGAATATTGTTAGTGTTTTATAAGTCGAAAGAAGACGATTTTCTAATGGTGTGTGCTTTCGTGGTCATGAAATCATTAAATAAAATTAAATAAATCATTTAAATCGTTTAAAAATTGCATTTCTTTAAACTCAGGCCATTTAGAACTATATATTTCATTAGCTCCACCTCCAGAATGACCACTAGTTCCCACTTATTGCCTTTTTTTTTGAAATGAAGCTAGTAAGCTTTCCATTTTTTTTTTCCTAACTAATATCATGTCTTTTCACATTCCGCTTGCTTTTTCAAACCAAAAATCGATTTTGAGTTAATTTATATTTAGGATTTGATGGATCCCATTAAATAGGATGCGCTTTGTATAAATTAATCAGCGTGATACACTCTTTCTCGTGAGGAATCCATAACTTATAAATTAATATTTAACTAACAATTAATTTACCAATAAATATTAAAAATAGTTAATTTTTAAAACCTCAAATGCTAGTGAACATAAGCGAATCTGACGTTTACACTGAATGTCATTTATTTTTGTCTTACCGCTAACCGATCGAAACGCACCGAAGGTGAACGAATGGTACAAATGGCCGTTCGTTCGCGTTCATGGCCGTAATGTAAACGCACCTTAATACGTATGTGTACAAAAAAGTCTTAACCACCGGTGCAATTGTTACGCGTTCCTCAGAACTGTTCGCCTACACGGTGGAAAATCACGGCGGATTAGACATATTGATGAACAGCGCCGGCATCCTGAACGAGGAGTCATCCACGTGGAGAAAGATGGTCGACACCAACGTGGTAACGGTTCTAGTATATCTCTATGGTTAATTCTCCCATAACCCTTTCCTTCCGGCCAACGAGTGTTTACGGTGAACTGTACCCGTTCGGTTTTCGCAGACCGCTCTGATCGACAGTACGCGGCTCGGCATGGACCTGATGAACGACCCAAAACGACCGGGAGTGATCGTCAACGTGTCCGGCGTGTGTGCCATCAAACCTGTACCTCAACTACCGATTTTCTGCGCTACAAAAGCGGCAGTATTGAACGCCACGCGTGCGTTCAGCGTAAGTACCGAGTACACACCCAAACCCCCCCAACCCCAAGAGGATATTTGTTTCCTTTTAAACAAACGATTTTCGATCCTTCGTCCGTCCGCACCTCAATGTAATATCCTAAGATACGTATAACACGCGATGTTGCACTACGGTGATCTTATCGTCGGCAGTTCAACGCGTTTGTGATATTTCACAATATGATACGATAATTGTACAGAAAATCAACAACAGCAACGTGCGGTTCTTAACAGCGTGCATGGGTCCGACGAGAACACCAATGTGGCTGAATTTCTCTGAAAACGATGTCGGAGACTGGGCCAAAGAAGAATCTGAAAATATTGTGAACGCGTTCATGGCCCAACAAAAGTTAGTTCGTACCTACGCGGTAAAATTCCTTATAATTATTCATCCGTGCCGCAGAATTTTTTTCGGGACACACTGAGTACGAAATTTATCGATTTTCTTTTTACATTCGATATCGTGTTCACCTTATGAGTTTTCCAGTTCTGATTATATTTATAGATATAATTATAAATATTGCGTTATCTTTGGTTTTCTACGGCGTTTTCAATTCAGATTTTTATAATTTACAATTTGTTATTCTGATCTTATAACCGCGTCATATATTTAATGTAAATAATTATATGTGTATCTTCGAATTCAACTTCAATTTAAAAAAATTTATTTTTATTCGTTATTTTTTCTGACATTTTAATATTAAACCAGGCGATAATACGTGATTTTTTTTTTTTTTATACATCAATTACAGTGAAGAAAAAGCAGCAAGATGCATAACATCAATGATGAAATATGCAAACAATGGTTCCGTATGCTTAGTGCTAAACGGCTATTTACGAAAAAGAGAAAACGAACAAACATTTTTTTATACGAAAAACTTATATAAACATTTTCATTAGAATTTTAAAAATAAACGATTAATAATTCGATTTATGCGTTCGTGAAGTTGGCCCAACTAAGAATTACAATTTTTTTTAAACCTATGCCATTACTTTGCAAGTTATTTCAAGTATTTGCAAGTCAATTTTTAAAATTTGCAAGTCCAAACTTTTACCGTGAAACCAAAAAATTACCACCCACCAACCCAACTACCACCTAAAAAAGTTCTGAAATATTTACTCCACTTGCCATGCGTGTTCGTACCACTGATGATAATAATGCGCATCAATAGTACATCGCATCTGTATGTAGTTTAGATACGATAAAATACGTCGATTACATTCATTAGTTGTGTACTAAGTAGCGAACGGTTTACAATCGTGTTTCAAACGTAATCATGGAAGAACTAATGTTGCTTATACGATTACAGGACAAGGCATAAAGAAATGGTGTTCAAAAAAAAAATAAAAAAAATAAGTATATTTTAAATGAATATGTCGGAGTGCAATTTTATATTCATACATAACAATATAAGTTTTAATTGTATTCATTGTATTTTTCAATTATGCTGAAAAACTAAATTTCAAAATTGTAAGAAAGAAAAAATTGTAAATTTATTTTTTTAAAGGATTTAAATAATCCGAATGACATACTTCAATATCGTTAGGATAAACACTATATACAATGAAACGACGAAAAATATTTTTTTGTAATTTAGTAATTTATATTTTAAATAATACTATGGTTTTAATAGATGTAAAATGTATGATACGCATATATAATGCATTTTATTCAATTGTGTTATACGACATATGCGTATAACGTCAAACAATTAAATATGTATTAGAAATTTCTATGTGAAAAAAAATTAATAAAATATACAAGAACTAACATGCAGTTTTCGGAAAAATATATGAATTCAAAAATAAATAGTAGTACAATACTTGATCTCGATCATCAGTCAGTGTTTGAAGAAATAAACGTGAAAAACATTGGTTGTTCTGACACTATCTTTATAGCCAAAACACCGATTTCATTACTCTGCTTATCACAATATTGCTATCGTACTTACAATGTTCGTACGCCTTCCAATTCAATGCTTTTCGCATTCGAGGCGTACTTCAACAATGTTCTCTGTCCGTCCGTCGACATTTCGTGATAATATTCCATTAATTATGAAGTATTCATTCCCATTCACAATATTGCGGGCGACGCAGCGCCTATGAATCATAAGTAGTAGGCCACCTAAAAGTCAGTCGCGTTCGTGCGAAATTGTTTTTGACGATTTAAATTAGCATGCTCATGCATGCCCATGACTATAACGAAATTAAACAAACGATCGTTACGATGTTTTACCTCAGTTTTATTCTTTCTCTCTTCTATCTCGGAGAAAAACAAAAATCTTTCCGATCAATAAAATTATCACGCAATGGTGTAAAAATCTAGTCATTGAACAGCAGCGGCTAGCCAATGCCCATATTTTACACTACCCACCGTAATTATTTTATAGTTCAGTTTTAACTAAGTAAAACAAGTTTTTACGTGTTTGATGTCAATTTAAATGTAATTAATAGTTTTTAGAAAGTGTATTGTGCTTTACTAATAATTCCTAATGAAAAAATACAAATCTCATCTGTTTTTTTTTTTTTTTTTTATCACGAAATTCAGATACACCTCTTTCGAACCGCCAACGGTATCGAATAAAATTGAAACTGCCAGTTCAAATAATTATATTTAATTATCCATCCCTTTCAGTTTATCACTCTTTCAGATATCGTAAAATTTTTTTATCAAGCATCTGTATATAATAATTAAAAAAAGATTATTTATTTTTACTATTTTAAATAGAAAAAAATTTGTCATAGCGTATAAAATAATTAATTTGATTTTGTAAATAATTGTTTTTTATTTATTTTTTAATATTACAATTTTCTAGGCAGTTCAATTGAACTACCTGTAATGGGTATTGGATGCCGTTGCGAACCGCCACTGGCGATAGTAGTACGTGCTTTCATATCCGAACGATGCGCAAGTCTATACGACATACGTCTGGTAGAATGCCAAGTGATTATTATTTCGCATCCCGCCGCCCCGGCATTCAGAAGTATTCTTTGTTATCTTACCCCGTGCAACGGCAGTTTCTGCACCAGACGTTTTACACGTCACAGTTTACTATTATTATTATTCGATAACGGAACAAAAGAAGGAAAAACGGACGCGGCAAATACCATAAGATATAATACGTCCAGTCCGTTTGTGTAATATATTTATTGTACTATTGTTGAGCAGTGCGTGCATAATTTATTACAAGATTGTTTTTCCTCCGGTTGCTTTTCCGTTGCTGCTATGGGGTTTCGCTCGCCCGTTCAAGAGAATCGGAATCCGTCAGAATATGTAGCGGGTTGATCGATCTGATTCTCCGATATTTTTCAACAAATAAAGAAAACAATTTGAACGCAACGATCCCGTGATAAATTCCTAATTTTTATTTTTCAATGCTATTGTAGCTAACACATTTAGATATTATCGGCTGTGAAATCAACTATTTATTATTCATGAGTATAGAAATGTCATTCTATCATTCTCTTGAATGAAGGAGGGTAGGTGACACATTGCCATCTTGCGTATTGCTGTACCCATTCTACGAAGAAGGTAACAGCCACTAGCCGGGTTAGTCTGACAAGCTGCGTGAAAAACGTCAATAGGCCGGTGAAACAATATCAGATGACAAATTTAACCGAGGAATCGGTAAGAATATAAATTATTTAAACGATCTACCTCCTTCCAAGGTGAAATATGCAACTTATTCAGCACGTCCAGGATGAAATTATCGAATTGTAAAAAATCGATATGCATTTATACAATGTAATTTTTTTATTTTAACCATAACAATTTAAATGGGCCGGTTAAAATATGGAACATCGGTATTAAACAATTTATCGATATATAAAAAAAAAAAATGACATTAACAATTCATAAATTAGTAATAATTATTTATTGATATTCGTTTTTAAAATATCGTTTAAAAACTGTTTCTAACTCGTAGTGACTGTTACGTATGGTAAAGAAATAACTTTTTTGTGAAAACTAACGCTACTCAATAATCTTATATATCAATTGATCGAAAGCGACATTTTGGGGCCAAATTAAAATTGAGTTTATCAAATAAACAAAATCATTATTCGATCATTATGAGTATAAATTATGCATAAAATTAATAAATTTACAATAATAAAACTGACTGATATAATATTTACTGATGCAATTGATTGATAATAACCAAAACCGTAATAAAATCATAACGCCAGCTATAGCATTTGACGTTGTCATTGAGTGTCCACATTTTACGGATATATTGCCCATATGGGGATATGTACTCGTATTTAACACAACATGAAATAGTTAAATGTGCTGTTTCCCTAGCAACTACTCGGTTTCTATAGTAAGTTTGTAGTAAAGTAATAATTACAAAAAATTCTGTTTTTATTAAAATATTTACAAAACATTTTTTTAGATTTTACTGTAAATTTACAATGACAATCAAATTGATTTTAGGGAAACAGTGTATTTTACTTTTCACTCAACGAGTGCGACATCCAACGTGACGTTTCGGACAAAATTTTAGCATAACCTCCAACGGTAAGACGCATATCCATGTTAATATACAAAAATGAACTATCTGTAATGTAACGTTTTACAACTTTTTCAATTTCCCAGATTAAAATATCGGATATTACAACAAAATGAATATTTAAATTTTTAGAAATTTATTATTTAAAATTTTTTTATGTTTAAGATAAAAAATAAAAGCTACATCATTACTCCGATAAAGAGTTTTATTCTATTTATTATTGAAACCTAACAATTTCTTCACAAATATATTTTGTTAATATAGTGTGCCATTTTTCGGACTCCCCGTACAATCGAGAAAACACACGTTGGCGTTTTGGTGAACTTTAAGAACTTATTAATTTGTTTTTTTTTTTTATCTATTTTTTTTTTTTTTTAGAAAAAACATGTCAACATGAGAATGGTTTTTCAATTTTCATGGGGTTCTCAAAATCTTAAATTATTCAACTTGTACCTAAATAAAAATCCTAATTACCTAATAAAAAGAATTAAATCAACAAAGCATTAATCGTTTATTGATTTTATTTTTGTATATTTTTTTTTAACATAAGTTCAATAAATTATAACCTTTTTTTTTTAAAAAAAAATTGCTATTGTTGTAAACATTACAGGTTATGGTTACATAGTATAGGTACAGCAATGGAATTAGATTAGTTCTGTATACAATTTAAATAGTTAACAATATTTTTTAAAAAAAGGTAAAATAAAAAATTAATAAATAAAAATAATTATGTACCTATACAATTCAATTAGGTAGTCGGAGAAATTGTAGAAATTAATAATGGAATGAATGATAGGAATGGAACGGAAGTTAAGGAGAAGGTTATAGTTGGCAGTTATATAGCCAAAAGAAGATAAGAATGAAATAAAATATTTGTCTACTAGAAAGAAGAGAAGGGCAGTTAAATATAACTTACATTCAAATAATGAACAACAATATTTTTTTTTATTTATAATAATGAAAAGTTGTGCAGTATATTTTTTTATAGATGGTCGTATAAATACGTTACTAACCTGTAGTTTCAGTTAAATTCAGTAAAACAGTTTTCGTGATATCGATACCATAAAAATTGAGCTCATATAGGCGCGTACTGGCCCACTGGGATACCAGAAAATCCTGGTAAGCTCTCTCAAAAATTATAAGACCTAAGCCCCTAACCAAATAGGTACCTGTAGTATCAGTTAAATTCAGTAATTTTATTATTTTTAACAATTACAAAACTATACCGATGGACAGTCGACTTCTTAATTTAGTACCCAATGGGAAATGAGTAAAACACGCAATTTTTCGAATAATTTAATTTATTTGCTTTTGGTAAATATGTCTGTTACCATTATTTTGATTATTAAAATTATTCGATTATTCTATTTGATTATTTCCATCACTAGTTGTAATATCACAAGCAGAATCGGTAAGTAATGTTATTGAAGTTCGGCGAAAAAAACGACCTGTATCAGTTCGGGAATACAGTAAATTTAAATATATTGCAATTCTTTAGGCATACTCCCAATTTTGTTTTTTCCAATAACCTGTTTGATGCATTAACCGTTTTTGCAACTAAAAAAAAATCCATCTGACGTTATATTTGTGGGTCATAAATCCATGTATTTTTTAAAAAATATCATATAATATTAAATAATATTAAATGATTTATTTTTGAGTAGAGAAGTTTAATGTGTAATATATATCACTAATGAATATATTGTAATAAATGAACGAAGAATGAATAGTCAATATGTACAAAACAATTTTATCTCTCTTACCTTTTTACTAAATATTGAATATCAGGAGCTTCGTCAATGAACTTTCTATATCGGTTGAAGTCAAAACTTTGGAATTTTTACTTTTAATCCACTCGATTTTCTCTTTAAAAAAACTTGTAATTTTAAATAAGTACCAATATTAATGCAATATTTCATATTATTCATGCATTTAAGCATTAAATAAGTAGACCATAGAGTTGACGATTTAATGTCTGTAGATATTTATGAAAATTTGTAAGAAACACATTCTTTGACAATGATTTGGTTTTATTTATTTTTCTCAATTTTAAAAGTTTTTCATAAGCCATTATATATCTTTCTTTTGATTTTTCAGGCAATAAATTTAGTGAAACAGCATTTGTGGTTTTAACCATGTATGGTGAAGTTAATGGTTCACTACAACTACTGTACTGATTGTCATCTTTCGTATTTATGCTTGTTTGCGTGCTTCGCAGTCAAACCATCACTGATTCGATTGTGTGACGTACTCGCATCGTTTGCAATAAAAATGAACACTTATCAAGGATAATTAATGAAATTATAATAAATACCGGGATAAACGGGCCAAAAGCGCCACAGTAATATTAACAAAAAAAGTAATAATAAATATGATAAATCTAAAAATAACAATAAAATCACATATGCTCCAAACACGTTGTAATAATATAACAAGACAAATCGTATAAAAATAAATATATTTTTAACAAATATAACGGAACATACCTTGGACGGTCTGGCGTTCGAGTGGTTATGCCCACGCGACCGTGTCACACGTGCGACGAACGCCACAACCGGCAGAAGAATCGGTTGATCAGCGGCGTCGGTCTTGATTTACAATAACTGGCTTCTCCGATAATCAAAAGAAAATTTCGCGGACACGGGTCAGCTACGATTCAAACAGTCGTCCCACACACGAAGTTGTCCCTGGAGATGGTAACTCCACCGTGTTACACCGCAACCACAAAAACACACGGCCGGTGGCACGGGAAAACCCGACGACAACGAGTCGGACGTTCGCAGAGAAAGTTTCGGCGGAAAAAATTCCCGGAGTTAACGCGCCGATCGAAAATTCTCGAACATTACACGCCGACATCATTATCGGATGCTCCGGTTAACACGAAATAAGATAATTTGAATGGCAACGTCACACTTGTGCGAACGATCTCGTTTTTTAATTCGGATTATTATATAAATCACGCAAAATAAATTTATCTGTAACGTCCAACGCACTTGTGTAGGAACAATGAAAACGAAATATGTTAAATGTTTATGCGTCGTACAAGGAGGTTGTGATATATGTATAAGATTTAACCAAAAGTTTATGTTTTGTACGAACCGCGGTATACATTTAAGTTTCTGGTTGTTCTGGGAATACGCAGCCAGCGCTCTTGAAAATGTCCACTTTACTATGCTGTGTTATAGGGATTTCCACTTTACCGTGCGCTACTATGGGATTCCCATCTTACCGCCCGCTGGACGGATAAATGTGACATTCCAACGCTTTGACCATGGTCGAAAACTAAACCTCGAGTACGGGTGTGACAAAAATGTTATACCTAGAGAGTCATGATTTAATTACGATGACCGTTTACCTTTGTGTTTATCATTTAAATTTCTACGTTTGTATAGCACTTACGGGTGTAACGAGAACTTTGAATGGCTAATAAAATTATCTTTTGGGATGAAAGTAATTCAACAGCGGACGTTCCTATAAGTAGGGGAGCAGGTTATGGAATCTTTCAATAATTTCGTTGAAGATTGAATGCTCTGCAAACGTTTCCAACGTCTATAATAATACATAAAAACAGTAAGATATATATTTAAATAATAGTCTTGAAAAATTTTTCCGATCTCGTCAAACATTTTCGTTCTCTCTTATAATAATTATGTACCGTCACCATAATAACAAATCTTCACGAAAACAAATAAATTTATCTTGTGTCATCGTTATTGATATAATTAAGTTATTTTGAGTATTATAATTTTTATTAAAAGTAATACTTTTAATTTTATTATTAGTGCTTTTTCATATGCAAAAATGTATATTCCAATGGTCGTCAACATTTAACACAAAGGATTTTAATTGATTTTTATTTGAAACATAATATAATTAGTGTTTGAACATTTCATAAAATATAAGATTGTGAATTATTTCAATATTTTTAAAAAAATTGTTTTTCTTTTATATTTGTTTAATTTTTATGTATATTTCACATTTTTGTAGGTAGAAAAAATTAATAAGACCCATTAGTCATGAAATTAATTTTATTTTGTTTTATTTTTAATTTTTAAAGTTAATTATTAGTTATATTTTGTTTGTCAAAAAGTTACATGTTAAGATTTAAATACAGTAAGATTTAACATTATGAAATTGCAATATGTTAAGTTAGTAATTATTATTATAATTGTAGTTATTATACGACTTTTTAGTTATGGTTTTATTACGTTGTTTTTCATTATACTCTCTAAACACTTTATGTATTTTTGCACTATTTTTACCCATGTTCAATTTTATCCAAACGTATTCGATACACGTATAAACGTTTGAACAAAAATGAGTATAGAATAGAAATGATAATATTATATTAAATTTGTAAGTGTTAACGAATATTTACATAATATAATAGTAATAATCGTACGAAAATAATTCGTACACAATTTTCTTGATATAAACTATATAACTATATAACAATATAACTTATCTATATAATTAAAACGCCAGGGTATTACAATGAACCATTTTAAAAACTAATCCTACAGGCCACGTTTTATTTGAATTCCTTAAGAAAACATGTAAAATGAAGGTTTTGGTGACCCTACGTGACGACAAAAACAAGTACTGCATGACGGGCTTCAAAATCCTACGAGGCACTATATTCAAAACTGAATTTTTTGTCTTGGCGTTTAACCTGTTAATGTTAATATTTAATTAGGTAAATTGAAACGTTTCATGTTCTTTGTATGACAAACATCATATGATATCATTATTCATTAATAATCCTTACATGTTTTTTTCCGAAAAAACATATTATTGATAGTTAAATATTTAAATATATAAGTAAACATAATTTTTTAAACATTATGAAGTTGGCAAATTTAATCAGTTGCCCCACCCTTTCAAAAGTTGTAATAACGCCCCAGTATAAAGATAGTTCCAGGTATATTTCTTACTTTTCGCTATATTGTAATGTTTTCGCTGTTAATATATTTCGCGATTTTAACTGGCATCCAGAATA